GTACCTAGAGTGGAACCCACTAGGTTCACACAGAAACTCATGGCTGCTCTCTCTCTTCCTCCCTCCCCTGGTCCACCTGCTCCATGCTGTCCTGGGATCTCTGAGGAGTTTCTCTTGCTTGCCCTTTTGTGTGGAAATGCTGAGAAAACCCCTCCCAGGTCTTCCCTTGGCTGCTTGGGTTCCTTCCTCTCAGATGCTGTCTGTAACTGAGCTGGTCCTCGCCATGGCAGAAGGAGAGGCAGAGATACGGTGTAGATGATCCTGAGACAGGAGGAGACTCAGAGCAGCTGTAGCTGCCTGTGTCAGACCTGCACACGATCATGCCAGTGAGCCTTCCGGCACAGAGGGTAGAGGCTCACGAGCACCCAACTCTGCCTGGGGAGCTACTGATAGCTCGTGACTTCTGGGGGAGGTTGAATCCCTTTTCTTTAAGGGTATCAATTATGCTGCAGTGGATGATAGCCCAGACCCCTTATGCACAACCCAAATTGAGTCAGTGGAGAATCAAAAGGAAACAAGGAAGTTGGGAGGGAGGAGGGAGGAGGGAGGAGGGAGAATGATCCAGTATGGAGTCTCTCACGTTTTCAATAAGGATAGGATATATTAAAAAGCCAGGTGTGGTGGCGTGTATCTGTGTGGCCAGACTCTCTTGGTTCAGCTAGGCTAGAGTACACAACACTACAGAAACAAGAGCGCCTGCCTTATTTTGTAGGAGAGACAGGATGACTCACGAGTGGCCTCTGACCTCCACACTGCCTTGACTCGAGTGTCCAGGTGATGGCACACGCTCGTGGACATGTGCGCGTGCGCGCACAGACAGACACAGGCACACACACAGACACACACTAATAAAGTTTTAAAAATTTAAAAGGTCATTCCATAAATAAGACTATCACAGAATATGTGGTAAAATGCGTTATTTTCTATGTAGAGAATATTTCAACAGTGATGTTATTGCCTTATATGTAAGATAAACTTAATCTTAAAAGTTTATTCTAAAACTTCAATTTAAGGGACTAGAACACAGCTCAATGGTAAGAGTGCCTGCCTAGCAGGCAGGAGACCCCTGAATTCAATCTTCAACAACCTTGAAAATAAGCAAATACATTATTTAGAAGTGTTTCCAACGCCTTATGCCGCATGGCTCCTGAGGTCTACCCTCTCAGTGACAGCCGTAGGTAGCTTACATATGCCTATCGCAGAAGGGAAGGTTTGTGAACTGGTGCAGGCTCCTGACTTAATTCACCTGCAAAGCCCACTCGCTAATCCCTGCCCCTTACAGAAAGAACAGCAACTCCAGCCTGGTCATTATGACCTGTGCATGTGAGCTGTTCCACTCTCTCACTCACAGTCTCCCAAGCACTAATAGTCCAGAAATTAAAACCTCGGAGACGAGGAACGAGAGAGACCACTCAGCTGTTAAGAGCACTTTTTGCTCTTGCAGAGGATCCTAGTTCAAATCCCAGCACCCACGTAGCAGCTCACAACCTGGTGTAACTCCAGTTCCAGGGAATCTGGTGCCCTCTTCTGGCCTCTGCAGGCACCTTGTGCACAGGGTCCACACATATAAGCAGGCAAGCACTTAGACATCAAAAAATTCAAAACTCTAGACCAGAGTGGAGAAATTGTCAGATGGTTAAGAACATGCTCATGTCGAGACCTGAGTTCTACTCCCAACACTTACCTCAGGTGTCTGATAGCATCTAACTTGTCTGCCTTTGTGGACACCTGCCCTAGCTACACACACACACACACACACACACACACACACACACACACATCAAAACACCCAACACATAAACATACACAATCAATCAACCAACCCATAATATTTTGAAATCCTGGGGCCAGAGAGATGGCTCAGTGGTTAAAAGCACTGGCTGCTCTTCCAAAGGTCCTGAGTTCAATTCCCAGCAACCACATGGTGGCTCACAGCCATCTGTAATGGGATCTGATGCCCTCTTCTGGTGTGTCTGAATACACCTACAGTGTTACTCATATAAAATAAATAAATCTTTTTTAAAAAATTTAAAATCCCGAAGGGCTGGGGATGTGGCTCAATTGTTGAAAACATGTTTCACATGCCAAAACCCTGGGTTCAAACTCCAAGCTTGAAAGGAAAAAAGAAAAGGACGGTGAAGCAGAGAAGAGTCCATTCTTGTTCCTGTCTCCCCCTGGGCTCCCCGATATTGCAAGCATGGGCAGGTTGTTCAGTCGTTCCGTAGAATCTTTTCATGTAGTCTAAGCTGACCAAAACCTTAGAGCCTCACTCCCGCTTCCAGCTTTCCTGGAGCTAAGATTTTAGGCATGTGTTTATTTCTGGGTCTTTGGTTTTGTTTTACACAGTATCTGGTTATGTATCCTTGGCTGGCCTTGAACTCATTGTGTTGACCAGGCTGACCTCAGTCTCACAGAGTCCTGCCTCCTGGGTGCTGGCACTAAAGGCATGTGCCTGGTGTATCATGTCTCTTAAAGTTAAGGTATGTGTAGGCTGGGGTGTGGCTCCGCGACATGACACACGGTCAGTGTATGTGAAGACCTAGATTCAGTCTCCATCCCATGCACTGCCAAGAAAATAAAAATTCCTGTGCTTGGCGTTCATAGTACGGAACCTCTTACATATTTAATAGACTATAGTATAATGTACATATACTTTCTATGTCTGTAGGGTCAGGGGGCAGGTGTTGAAACCAGACCCTATGTCATTTTCGACAGATGTGCTACAGTAGATCTCTCTCTCTCTCTCTCTCTCTCTCTCTCTCTCTCTCTCTCTGTGTGTGTGTGTGTGTGTGTGTGAAGGTCAGTGGACAACTTGTATAGTCTGTTCTCTCCTTCCACCTTGTGGTGTGTGTGTGTGTGTGTATGTGTGTGTGTGTATGTAGGTCAGAGGAAAACTTGCAGAAGTCCAGGGACAAAATGCAAATCCTCAAACTTGATGCCAGCTGCTTCTACCAACTGGGCCATGTTTAGTGCTGGAGGAAAACTCAGGGCCTCCCACATGTTAAAACAATTGCTCTCCCACTAAACTACACCCCACTCTTATGTGTCCAAGATATTTCTGGACCCTGTCTAATAATGGATCCAGTTCTGTGAGCCCCAACCCCTTATGGTAGGAATCACCCCAGGAAACCTTGTTCTAGGAAGTTCAGAGTTGAGGCCGGGAAATGGACACTGAGATTCCCTCAAGGTATCAGTTCCTGTTCACTGGAGGCAGTGAGCTTGAGGCACTGGTGACCTTGAGGATATCTGCCTTCCTGGAGATTCCATCTGCAAGGTCACAAGAGGGGAAGGTCGGGCCAGCAAGAGAGCTCAGCAGGAAAAGGGTCTTGCTGCTGACCTTGACCACGTGTTCTGATCCCTGGCCCCCATGTAGAAGAGAGAGAAATCCACTCTCCTAAATTGTCCCGTGCCCTGGCACTTGTGCTGTGACACAGTGACAGCCACACAAGCGACTGTACACCTTTGAAAACCAAGGAAGTAGAGAGATGTATTCATTTAGAGTTCCAAGTGGGGATCTGCCCGAACTCATTCAGAGGATAGTAAGGCCTCCCCTCCCTGCACCCACTTTACAGAAGCCGTGAAGCATGTGGACACAGGGCAGTCCTGCTGTCTACCTGTCTGTTCCTGTGTCTTGAAGGAAGGTTCTCACAGGCACATTGACTTGTGGGAAGTGAGAACACCAGGGTCACCTGGGGGTTGCCCTCCCAGAAGCCCTGGCTCCCTCTGGCTTCAGCACCTGAGCAGCCTCTGGCTGGGTTTGCCAGCAGGTTGGACAGCGATTGAGGCCCTGGGAGCATCCCAGCTTCCCCATTCCTTCCATGGTCGGGAGACTGGGAAGTAGCTTGTCCTCTCCTGGCCTCTGCTGGCCTCCATAGAATGGGGACAGTGAACACCCAGGCCTCACCTGGTGGCTGTGAGTCTCAGTGAACACAGGCCTCCCTTGCCTGTAAAGGGAGCAGCCCTGCCCTGGAGGGCTGCGAGCATCCCTGCTCCCTGCAGCCCAGGGAGGACCAAGCCTACCAGCCCCTTTGTCCCTTGGCCACCAGGGACATCCATGAAATGTGGGGAGCACAGCCACCTGTCACATGTGCTCCTGGTGACCCCTCCCTCTCCAGCCTCCCTGCCTCCTCCTGGCCTCTGCTTCTCCCCTCTGCACTGTTAGAAGCCAAAGCTCAGGCAGTCCTGGGAGCATAGCTCCCAACCCCCAACTCCATCCCAACCAGCAGCTCTGGGGTGAGGAAGAATCCCTGAGGATAGAGGTCTGAAGGGTCCTCCCCTGACCTGTGCCTTTAGGGGTACCTAGTAGAGGACATTCTGGTGGAGGAGGGTCTCAGGACTCTTGAGCACCCTGGGTGAGGGAGTAGAGACTCCCAGACCACAGTTTCCTCCTTTCCCAGGGCCACCCCCAAAGTCTCTCCTTACCCGGGCATGGACAGGGGCACGGACATGGGCGTGGACATGGGTCCCGCCGTAGCTGGACAACAGTAACATTGGTGAGGACCACGTCACGTCTCGACATGGCCTAAGATCTCATGGCCTGACTGGCTTGGGCCCCTCTGTGGTGTTACTGAGGTGTGAAGCTCCCAAGGTCCCAGTGGCTCCTGAGCTTCTGATGATGTCACATTTATGTCACATTGCCCGATGATATCACAGAGGGGGTGGTGTAAAGGGTGGAGTCCTAGCCCCAGCTCTACAGTCCTAGAAAGCCCTACATAGGATTTCAAGGCCACCCTCTGGTACCTAGAGTGGAACCCACTAGGTTCACACAGAAACTCATGGCTGCCCTCTCTGTTCCTCCCTCCCCTGGTCCACCTGCTCCATGCTGTCCTGGGATCTCTGAGGAGTTTCTCTTGCTTGCCCTTTTGTGTGGAAATGCTGAGGTAGCCCCTCCCAGGTCTCCCCTCGGCTGCCTGGGTGTTCCAGGATTTAATGGTCGCTCTTCTCACCAAGGCGGAGGAGAGGAAGTAAATACTGTAAGATCCACAGGTCAGGTAGGACAGCAACAAAAAAGGTTCTCCCGAACATGATAGCAGGGCTGCACTGCAGAACTCACGGGAGGCCTTGTTCCCAGCCCAAGGTCAAGGCAGTCAACATTCTCATGGGTGGGGGAGGGGCCCAGGAGCTACAGACAGTTGATGGCTCCTGGGACAGCTGAGTTGGTTTTCATTTAGGATTGTAAACCAAACAGGACTGGTTCACCCGACTCTTATGAACCTCATCAGCGGTCCAAGTCAGTGTGGGCTTAAAAATAAACACACATAGATGAGTACCCTGGGCTGGGGAGAAATCCCAGCCATTAAGAATACTTGCTGAGGGCTGGTGAGATGGCTCAGTGGTTAAGAGCACTGACTGCTCTTCCAGAGGTCATGAGTTCAAATCCCAGCAACCACATGGTGGCTCATAACCATCTGCAATGAGATCTGATGCCCTCTTGTGGGGTGTCTGAAGACAGCTACAGTGTACTTTAAATAAATAAGTAAATAAAGTTTAAAAAAAAAGAATACTCGCTGTTTTCACAGCTGACTGGGGTTCAGCTCCCAGTACCCACATTGTGATTTTCCACCATCTCGAACTACAGATACAGGGAATCTACTGCCCTCTTCTGGCTTCTCTATGCACTGCAGCCATGTGCTCACAGGGGCAGACAAAACTACTTGTATGAAAAGATCAACATTTTTCAGGAAATTGGTGGAGGGTAGGTGGTAGAGGGGGTCTGGGAGGAGTGGGAGGCCAGGTAGGGATGGACATGATCAAAGCATTTTCTGTACATTGGGAGTTCTCAAAAATAAACTTTAAAACCATAAAAGTGATTTATAAACATACATAATACATAACAAAACCCAACAAAAATAAAAACAATAGAATTAATACACACACACACACACACACACACGCACGCACGCACGCATGCACACACACACGCACACACACTCAGATAGCATTCATCTGTAGTCCTAAAAAGGCGTGTGGGCCAACTAGCCTGGAGTATACAGTGCTGCAGAAGCAATGGAAAAGATGCAGCCTCAACAAGAATACTTACAAACTCCAGGAGGGTGGAGCTTTGTCTTCTTAGTTTTATGTTTATGTCCCACTGACTTCAAGTGTGACCCATTAAACAAATTTCAAATGCCATTAGTCTATGGTGTGTGTATGTGTGGTCACACATGTGGTGGTCAGGGGAGTACGTTCTTTCCGTCCGTTTACTGTGTGGCTCTTGGGGGCTGAATCCAGAGCACACCAAGCATGGACTAGCCAGCTGGACTGTCTTCTGCCCTGCGTTTAATTTAGAACTTACTCAGTCCATAAATAAAACACACTTGCCTTGCCCATTTCTTTTTAATCAAGGAAAGTAAATTTCCACTAGTTTTCATTTTATACTTTATAATTTGCAAACTTTTAAATATTCTTTAGCTTTTTAAATAAAAATGCTTTCTCCACGGAAATGATGCAAGTATTGTGGCCACGTGAACTGCAGGTCCACCCCCCACTCTCCCCACCCCCCATGTTCTGGTTCTGCCTCGGGGGCTCTGACTAAGGTCCTTTGCTGTTCCTGTAGATAACACTAGTTCAGATCCCAGTACTGCTGTGGAGCGGCTCACAACCCCATGTGACTCCAGCTCCAGGATCAGTGATACCTTTGTCCGGCCTCCATAAGTACCTGTATGGTCCCAGATTCTCTCTCTCCTCTTGGGGGTGTCTGGACTCTGACATCTGGAGTAGGTTTGGTCTGCAGTCTGCCTCTCTCTCCAGGGCATCAGACACCCCTGCTCACCAGGACGGGAAGGCTAAAGCAGGGTCAGAGACGAATGTTGTGGTTCTGTGTCTTCTTCTCTCTCCTTCAGGGTTTGCAGGAGTTAGGGGACTTCTCCAAGAATCTTAGTGCTATGACTCTTTTGGGTGAAGACCTTCTCCGACTATCTTTAATGAAGTAGCTCTCTGAGATGATCTTAGCGTCTTCATATTTCTTCATTTGGGGTGGCCTTGAACCCATACACATACAGTAGTTTATTTGGGTGATATATATATATATATATATATATATATATATATATATATATATCTCCATATATATATGGAGAAGGGCATGAGAATATCCAGGGAGGGGAGAAAAGATCATTGGTTAAAGGCCGATGCTACCGAGATGCCTCATTTGCATGGGGACGAATTCCAGGTGTTGTGCTATGTGACTGAATATCTGTGACTGCCTGGTTGGAGGTCTCAGGGTTATGGGTTACGTGCTCCGAGGCAGGAACAGAAACAGGAAGTTATCTCCACTCCTGCTGGTCCCAGGATGAGATTCTAATCTCAGTTTTTGAGATTTCCAGGGTTTGGACATGCTCCACCTTTCCAGGTCTATACCCCCCACACTTGCACTCATACTTAATAAATAAAGCATTTAAAATACATGGATAAATAGGTTAACAGTACGATTTATTTTTTAAGTTTCAGCTTGAGGATGATTCACAGAGCACTTAACTATCATGCCTAATAAAATTTGTTGTATTAAACGTGTAACCTATCCGATGTGCATGCTTTGGTTCTTACCCTTGGCCGAATGTAGGAGGGTCCTGGTTGAATTGAATACAGGTTTTCACATAGGCCAATCATGTGCTCTGCCGTGGAACCCCACTCCTGCCCACACATACCAGAAACCACACGGCTGCTCACAACTGCTCCCGGCCATCTATGCTGTTGAAGGAATGGAGTTGGCGCGTGTGCTGACACTGGGTTGGCACAGGTGTTCAATTTATAGAAAAAGAAAAAAGAAAGAAAGGTTAAGTGAATAAGTATCTGGGAGACTGATGCAGGAGGCCAGTTTGGGGCCTCTAAGCCATGTCTTCCCATAGGCTAGCCTGGACTACATAGTGAGACCCTGTATCCAAACAAACAAACGACTGGAGAAATGGCTCAGTGGTTAAGACTGTTTAATGCTCCTTCAGAGGACCTGGGTTCGATTCCCAGCACCCACACGGCAGCTCACAATCTTCCGTAACTCCAGTCCCAGGCCATCTGATGCCCCATTCTGGCCTCCACAGGCCCCAGGTGCACACAGACATACATTCAGGCAAAATAGCCATACACGTAAAATGAAAAATAAAATTATTAAGAACAAACAAACCCATCCCTGCAGTATCTAGGAAGCACAGGTAAGTCAGGTGTGTCTGTACACGCATGACAAACACCTGGTCCTCTACTCCCTCAAATTTTTTCTTTTACTTTCTCTTTTTTGCTGGAAATTGAACCCAGGGCCTTGGGCGTGCTAGGCAAGTTTTCTTCTGCTGAGACACTCCCCCAGCCCCTGGGGTTATTTTAGTTTAATTTATTCTCCCCCATCTCTGTGTGTGGAGGCCAGAGGACACCTTGTGGGAGTTGGTTCCCTCCTTCTGTCCCATGGGCCCAGGACTGAACTCAGTTCCTCAGGCTTCGCAGCGATCACCTGCCCGTTACCCGCCGAGCCAGTGTGTCGGCTCTTACGTAGTGTCTCATCCCCAGTCTTGAAGCAACCTCTAAGCCACGTCTTCCCACAGCTGTCTGTTCTTTTCCTTGGAGTTTCCCTGTGTTCAGCACCTCCCGATGTCCTGTTACACGTCACCCTCACTGACTGTGTGTCCTGGAGGGGTGCTGTATCCACAGCTGAGTCACATCTGGAACAGCATCTGCCACACACTGCGCCTTCTCCTTCTTTTAAAACAACACTCATTTTATATGTCCAAGTGTTTTACCTGCCTGCCTGTCTATGCACCATGTGCAGTTCTGGGTGTCTTTGGGACCCAGCAGAGGCTGTTGAGTCCCCTGGAACCGGAGTTACAAATGGACCCATGTGGATGCTGGGAACTAAACTCGGGTCCTCTGCAAGAGTAGTCCACAGTCCTACCCACTGAGCCTCCTCTTCAGGCCCGCTCTTCATTTCTTGAGACAAGATCACTCTATGTAGCTGAGGCTGGCCTCTAAATTGCTATGATCCTCCTGCCTCAACCTCCTAGAAGCTGGGATTAAAGTTGCACGCCACCATGCAAAGCTTACAAAGCAGGCTTTCAGGAAGTGTCTAGAAAAAAAGCAAGTGAAAAATGTCCCCTCAAGCCCAGGGCTCACATGAACTTCTATGACTCACTAACATATGCCTTCACCTGCAGGGCCGGTTGACACGCAGCTGTGACCAAAGGGGTGTGAGGCTTTGCTACAGATACGAGTCACCATCCTAGAGAGAAGGGCGGAAGCCCAAAACTCATACAATGACAAAACCTCTTCCTTCCCCCGGGCCCCCAGAGAAGCTTTCCATGGGCTACGTATAGAGATCCTGTTTCATAAAACTGAAGCCAGAACCATATCATGCAAGAACTGGCCATGGGACAGGGGTTGCAAGGCCCTGGAGAGCTAAACTAAAAATAAATTGGAAGAGACAGGCATGGTTCTGTAATTGCAGCTACTTGGAGGCTGCCGTAGGAGAATCATAGATTAGTGCGTGTCTGAGCTACAGGGTGAGTTCAAGGCCAGCCTGGCCACCTTAGTCTCAAAATA